ATTTGAAAGTCAAATTTTCTATTCAGCTCTGGTCTTTTCATCAAGAATGCTTGAAAGTCCTCTATTTCACTGAATATCCATTTTTCCCCCTGAAATATTATGCTCATTTGGTTGTGTAGGTGATTCTTGCTTATAATCCTATCTCCTTTGCCCTCCAAAGTATCATATTCCAAGTCCTCCTATCCCTTAATGTAGAAGCTGCTAAATCTTGTGTTATCCTGATTATGTTTCCACAATACTTCAATTGTTTCTTTCTGGCTGCCTGCAATATTTTCTCCTTGACCTGGGAATTCTGGAATTTGACTACAATATTCCTAGGAGTTTTCTTTTGGGGATCTCTTTCAGGAGGTGATCAGTGGATTCTTTCAATTTCTATTTTATACTATGGTTCTAGAATATCAGGGCAGTTTTCCTTGATAATTTCTTGAAAGATGATGTCTAGGCTCTTTTTTTGATCATGGCTTTCAGATAGTCCAATAATTTTTAAATCATCAATCCTGGATCTATTTTCCAGGTCAGTTTTTTTTTTCTAATGAGATATTTCCCATTGTCTTCTATTTTTTCATTCTTTTGGTTTTATTTTACAATGTTTTGATTTCTCATAAGGTCACTAGCTTCCCATTGCTCCATTCTAATTTTTAAGGAAGTATTTTCTTCAATGAGCTTTTGGACTTCCTTTTTCCATTTGGCCAATTCTGCTTTTAAGTCATTCTTCTCCTCATTGGCTTTTTGGACCTCTTTTGCCATTTAGGTTAGGCTATTTTTTAAGGTGTTATTTTCTCCAATATTTTTTGGGTCCCCTTTAGCAAGCTTTTGACTTATTTTTCATGATTTTCTTGCATCACTCTCATTTCTCTTCCCAGTTTTTCCTCTACTTCTCTTACTTGCTTCTCAAAATCCTTTTTGAGCTCTTCCATGGCCTGGGATCGATTCATATTTTTCTTGGAGGCTTTGGATGTAGGAGCTTTGACTTTGCTGTCTTCTTCTGATTGTATGTTTTGATCTTCTTTGTCACCAAAGAAAGATTCTGTGATCTGACATTTTTTTGCACAGTTTGCTCATGATCCCAGCCAATTATTTGAGTTTTAAACTCTTTGTTAAGGTAGAGGTCTGCTTCCAGCGAGGAGAATGTGCTGTCCCAAGCTTCAGGGGTTTTGTGCAACTCTTTTCAGAGATACTTCTAGGGACCTGTAAATTTTCAGTTCTTCCAAGGTGGTACAATCAAAGGCAAGGTGTTTACTTATTTCCTGGCTCTTTTCTGCCTTGGAACTGTGAAGAGGATTCCCTATCCACAGCCATTACAAGCTCTACTATGCCAACGCTCCTTCTCACCCCAAGATCTCTACCCAGAAGAGCAACCCAGATCCAAGCACTGGCAAAGCAAGAGAACCCTGCTTTAGCACCAGCAAAGAGATCCCTGCCATCCTGCTCTGATCAGCCACTCAATTTCCCCTCAGTCTATGGGCCAGAAGCTCTGGAAGCATCCGCCACTCCGGGCCCGCTCAGTGGCTGGGGCTGGTACTGAGCTTTTCTCTCACCGCAGTCACAGACTTTTCTTACTGACCTTCTAAGTTGTCTTTGGAGTTTGTGGGTTGAGAAGTTTGGAAACCACCACAGCTGCCTGTGATTCAGTTCTCTGAGGCCTGCTCCAGGTTGGCTGAGGCATGTTTTGCCTGTATGCCCACACTGAACTGTGTTTCTCTCCCTGCCCAGCATGATAGACCTTTCTAATCAATCATCTAGGTTGTCTTGGGCTGGAAATTTGCTTCACTCTGCCTCTTAGTGGGTTATGCTGTTTTAGAATTTGTTTAGAGCCATTTTTTACAGGTATTTGGAGAAGTTTGGGGGAGAGCTAAAGACAGTCACTGCTTTCCCTCTGCCATCTTGGCTCTTCCTCTGGAACTCAAACTTTTAAAAACAAATGTTAAAAATTGTTTTAACATGCAACTAGGAAATAAGATACACAGGCAATGGAGTATAGAAATCTATCTTATCCTACAGGGAAATAGAAGGGGAAGAGGATAAGGGAAGGGGAAAAGTGATAGAAGAGAGGGCAGATTGGGGAAAGGGGCAATCAGAATGCATGCAGTCATGGGGTAGGAGGGGGGGAGAGATGAGAAAATTTGAAACTCAAAATCTTGTGGAAGTGAATGTTGAAAACTAAAAATAAACAAATTGGAAAAAAAATTTTAAAAAGTGTTAAAATTTTTACATGTTAACAAAATATATATATTTAAATCAAGTACCTCTTTTTTCTTCAGGGAGTTTTTCTATATCTTTTTTTTCCCCATTTGACCAATTCTCCTTTTTAAGGCGTTCTTCTCTTCATTGGAATTGGATTTTTGTCTTTTAATTTTTTTTAATCATTTGGCCTATTCTATTTTTTAAGATGTTCTCTTCAATTTTTTTAATGCCTCCTTTACTAAGCTATAGACTTTCTTCATGATTTTCTTGTATCACTCTTATTTCTTTTCCACAGTTTTTCCTCTATCACCCTTACTTGATTTTTAAAATCATTTTTGAACTCTTCAATGGCTTGGGGTCAATTCATATTTTTCTTTGACACTTTGAATGTAGGAGTTTTGACTTTGTTTTCTTCTTTTGAGTCTGTGTTTTGATCTTCCCTGTCATCCTAGTAACTTTCTCTAGCCAGGATCTTTTTATGTTTGCTCATTTACCAGCCTATTTCTTGACTTTTAACTCTATGCTAAAGTGGGGTTCTGCTTCCAGAGAGAAGGGGGCACCATCCCAAGCCTCAAGACTTTTTGTGTGGCTTTTTTTCAGAGGTAATTCTGGAGACCTGTAAGTTATTGGTTTTTCCAAGTTGGTATGATATAGGGAATGTTGTTTTCACTACTCTCCTGGACTGTGCACTGGTCTGTGGGTGACCATAAGTACTGTTTTCCACCATGGAACTGTGACCTAGGTCCCCACTCCCCTGTAGCAACAAACTCTACTGTCTAGTGCTCATTCTTGCCCTGAGACTGAGACCTAGGACTATGACCCAAATCCAAGTATGGGCAATACAACAGAATCTTGCCCCACCCAGTGCCAGGCAAGGGACCTCTATAATCTCCTTCTGACCAGTTGTCCAACCCCTTTACTGTCTTGTGGATTGAGGGGTCTGGAAACCACCACCACTGCCACTGATTTCCCCCAAGGCCTACTCCTGGTCTCTAGGGCCCCATCTGTGCTGGAGGGGGCCTGTGTCGAACTATACTGTACTCTCACCCTGGTGCAGCAGATCTGTCCTACTGACATTCTAAGTTGTCTTGTGCTGGAAAATCATTTCACTCCATCCTTTTGTGGGTTCTACCACCCTCAAATTAGTTTTGAGCCATTATTTAAAGGTATTTGGAGGGGTTTGCAGGAGAGCTTAGGCAAGTTCCTGCCTTTTCTCTGCCATCTTGACTCTGCTCCCCAGGACAAGCTTTTAAAAATATAGACAGAAATTGTTTAGTGGAGATGGGAGACACAAAATGGATGCCTTAGAAATTTTGATTATATTAGTCATTCAGTGAATAGAAATGAACTAGGTAAGTATAGGGGTCCTGAATCAGAGAATGTGTGTGTGTGTGTATGTGTGTGTGTATGTAGTCTAGACAGAGAATTAGGGCAAGAAATTCTCCCTAGAAAGGGGCGCAAAAATGAAATTTAAAAAAATATAAAGAATAGGATTAGCTAAAGAGGAAAAGGGGAAAACTATTTGACTGAAGAGAAAATAAAAGAGGGAAAGAATTAAATAATCAGATAAAAACAAGAAAGAAAAAGAAGCTAGTAGCAAAGTCCCAAAGGGAAAGCAAAACTCCAAAGAGAAAGGAGTAACAAATTGGAAGGAGAGAAGAGAGTAAAGGGAAAAGAGCCAATGAGAATAGAGCCAATGTATAAAAAATGAGTGAAAGTAACTGAATGGACATGGTACTGTTTACAGAAGAATGGAAGAATAATAAATTGAAAAATATATGAGATAATGGAGGAAATTATAAAACTATCATAACTTTAAATGTAATTGGATTGTACATCCAATGAAATGAAAAGAAAAGAAGAATTATATAAGAAAATAAGACATTGCTTCAGATATAATAAACAAAAGATATACACACAAATGGAGTATTAACTGTGAAGTCCTAAATATGAGTGGGTCAAAGAAAAAATCCTAGGAACAATTAATATTTGTGGAAAAGAAAATTATAATGACAAAACAATGTACCAAATTTCAAGGATTTTGTATCCAAAATATTTGTTGGTGTATATATATATATATATATATATTTATTTATTTATTTATCTTTAGATATCTAGGTCTAAATTTAGATACAGGTATATCTATAGATCTAGATATATCTATAGAAATACTGATATTTATATATCTAAATCTTGATCTGTCTACATATTGATATGTATAAAAAGGTATCTACCTAGGTATAAATCATATATAAGTATATATAATATATGTGTGTGCATGTATATGTATGCACACTTATATCTAGCACTTAACAAGATGGCTGACATGTAGTAGATGCCTGATAAATGTTTATTTGTTGAATCTTTGTGAATATTTTATTGTATAAATATTGTTGAATATTTTATTTGTAGAATATGTGTGTATTTCCCCTGTTTCCCACAGAATGTAACATATCATATTAGCAAATATATCTCTGAGGATAAAAATTTGAAGTAGTGAAGTAGACATTTAAAAGAGGAAGAATTGGCATCATTAGATGGATATCTTTCTTTCAGTTAGGTGCATGTTTCTTCCATAGGATACAGAAAGAAAAATTCTTTGACTTAAATATTGATGATAAATCATTAATTTATTTTCGAATTAATGAGGGCGTAATCATCAGAGAGACTCAAGGTTATTGTGAGAAATTAATTAAAATAAGAAAAACAGATTACTTTGTTTAATTGATTAGTGTGCACAATAATATATATGTATATATGTGTATATATATATATACTAACATAAGCTTGTATTTATTTTTTTTTATATTCTATAGTTTCTAAGGTCTCAGAAGAAAGGACTATAAGTCAAGAAATCAACCTTAATTTTATAATGCCAGTGATCAAAGTTCATATGTCTCTACCTTCCATTTTTAAGCATTCTTCAAAACCTAAAGAGATAAAACAAGAACTCTACCACCTTCCGGTTTACCGATTATGTCATTTTACTGATGGCCAATCCAAATTCAAAATTAGCCATCGATTGGAAAGAGATAAGAAGAAAGATGCTACTAGGCCACATAGCATTATTGACTTTTCCCCACTTTATAGTATTGATAGACAGTATAGAAACAGGGAAAAGATGCAAAACTTCCAAAATAAAAAACAACATGTAGCCATGATCCATTTTGCTGATCAAATGGCTAACGAAAATTTTCAAGAATATGTTCAAGAGAAAAATTACTTTATTAAAAAAAGAAATAAAGACCAAAGCAAGAAAATTGAAGAAAGTTTGCAAAAGTATCAAGAGACCACATCAAAACTGATGGAAAAATTCCAAGAAAGGAGAAGTTGCTTTCTAGAAGAAGTGAAATTCAAAGCCCAACAGCGTCTGATGGTGGAAGATATAAGTAATCAGCTCACCACGCTGACGAAGGAGCTGTTTCAGTTTGACAGATACAAGAGGAAACAAGACATTGTGAAGAACAACAAGAGCATTGCGAAGGAAATGAAAGAAACAGATAAATATCATAAGGAATTAATTAAAAAAATGAAGAAAGGGAGGTAGGTGTGATTTTGATACAATGGACTCTGTGTAAGGTGCTTTGAGGATGAATGTGTGCTAGGGATTGATTTCTTTACCTTTCTCTGAATTTGTACGTAATAAGCAATGGTCTTGACATTTTATGAAATAAGTTAACATTTGCAAAGTGTTTTGTAAATATTAAAGTGTTATGCAAATGCTAACTATTATTATAGAATATTGACTTATTTTTTTCAGGCCCTAAATAAGAAATGGCATTTAGATATAGAAATAAACACATATACACGCATGCCACATGTGGCATATATATATATATAATATATATAATATATATATGTATATACTTTTGTTTCTATACACATGTATATATGTATATGTGTATATATGTTTGTTTCTATATATATGTATATACGTATATGTATATGTGTATATATACATACACACATATATAAATATAACACAAATGTGTGGGTATATATAAATACATTACATACATATCTATGCATCTATGTGTATCACACTCATACCCACAGTGTCCCAAAAGTCTTGTTGCAGTTTAAAGCTTTATAGCTAAAAATGCCTCCTAAATCTAGGAAGCTTCCGACTGTATGAAGATATTTGAAACACCATGTGTACAAAAGGTTGGACACAAAAATTTTATTATAAATTTAAGTTAAGAATGGTTCTGTGTAAGTAATTTCTTTAAAGTTAATTCCATGGAAGGGAACCAAAATGACTGAGTAAAAGTAGAGACTCACCTAAACTCTGCTCCAAACCCCTCCAAATACCTTTAAATAGTGATTCTAAACAGATTCTAGCACTGCAGAACCCAGAAAAAGTGCAACAGTTGTCCAGCCCAAGACAACTTAGAAGGTCCGCAAGAAAGGTCTGTTGCACCAGGGTGAAAAAGGAGTGCAGTTGAGAGAGTTCAATCCAGGCCACACCAGAGCAGACTGGGCCTTACTAGACCAGAAGTAGGTCTCTGGGTGACTGAATCAGGGGCAGCAGTGGCGGCTTCTAGACCTGTCAGCCCACAGACTCCAAAGATAACTCGGAAGGTGAATAGGAAAGGTCTGTCAAACCCTGGGTGAGAGTGGAGTGCAGTCAGCACAGGCCCCATCAACACAACCCTGGCCACAGCAAACCAGGAGCAGACCTTGAGAGCCGCTGAAATAGCAGCAGCAGCTGCTGCCTCTGGAGCTCTCGGCCCACCGACAGTAAGGGGGAGGAACAGCTGGTCAGAAGGAGATTTCAGGGCTCTCTTTGCTAGCACTGAGGAAGGACTCTGTTGCTTTGTCCATACTCAGATCTGGGTGGGAGTCCTGGATGACAGTCCCAGGGCCAGGACAAGCACTGGCATAGCAAAGCTTGTGGCCACAGTGGAGGGGGAACCCTCATCCCAGTTCCAGGGCAGAAAAGAGTGCTTGTGGGTTGCTCATAGACCAGAGCACAGGCCAGGACAGAAGCAAAAACATCTCCTTAGATAATACCACCGTGGAAGGATTGAAAACTTCCAGGTCACTACAAGCATCTCTGAAAACAGGTGCACAAAACCCCTGAAGCTCGGGACAGTGCACCCTCCACCCTGGGAGCACAGCCCTACTTTAATGAAGAGTTAAAAGTCAAACAATGGGCTGGGGAAATGAGCAAACAACAGAGAAAAAAACAACTCTGACTATACAAAGTTACTATGGTGACAAGGAAGATCAAAGCACACATCTGAAGACAACAAAATCAAAGCTCCTATATCCAAAGTCCCCAAGAAAAAATACGAATCGGTCTCAGGCCATGAAAGAGCTTATAAAGGAGTTTAAAAATCAAGTAAGAGAGCTAGAGGAAAAATTGGGAAGATAAATGAGAATGGTGCAAGGAAATCATGAAAAAGGAGTCAACAGCTTGGTGAAGGAGACAGAAAAAATACTGATGAAAATAACACCTTAAAAATAGACTAGGCCAAATGGTAAGAGGTGCAAAAAGCCATTGAGGAGAAGAATGCCTCAAACAGCAGAATTGGCCAAGTGGAACAAAAAAAGGCACAAAGTTCACTGAAGAGAAAACTCCTTAAAAAGTAGAATTGACCAAATGGAAAAGGAGGTACAAAAGCTCACTAAAGAAAATAATTCCTTAAAAATTAGAATTGAGCAAAGGGAAGCTAATGACTATGAGAAATAAAGAAACAACAAAACAAAACCAAAAGAATGAAAAAAAAACAGAAGACACTGTGAAATATCTTATGGGAAAAAAAAGAAAAAAAAAACTGACCTAGAAAATAGATCCAGGAGAGAGAATTTAAAAATTATTGGACTATCTGAAAGCCATGATAAAAAAAAAAAAAGAGCCTCGGCATCATCTTTCAAGAAATTATCAAGGAAAACTGCCCTGATATTGTAGAATCAGAAGGTAAAATAGAAATGGAAAGAATTTGCTGATGACCTTCTAAGAGAGATCCCAAAATCAAAACTCCCAGGAATATTATAGCCAAATTCTAGAGCTCCCAGGTCAAGGAAAAAATATTTCAAGAAGCCAGAAAGAAACAATTCAAGTATCATGGAGCCACAATCAGGATGACACAAGATTTAGCAGCTTCTACATTAAAGAATTGGAGGGCTTAGAATATGATATTTCAGAGGTCAAAGGAACTAGGATGACAGTCAAGAGTCACCTGAGTATAATCCTTCAGTGGAAAGAATTGATATTCAGTGAAATAGAGGACTTTGAAGCATTCTTGATGAAAAGACTAGAGCTGAATAGAAAATTTGACTCTCAAATACAAGATTCAAGAGAAGCATGAAAAGGTAGACAGGAAAGGGAAACCATAAGGGACTTAATGAGGTTAAACTGTTTGTATTTCTACATGGGAAGATGACACTGGTAACTCATAGGTACTTTTTTTCATTATTATTGCAGTTAGAAGGAGTATATATAGACAGAGGGCATAGGTGTGAGTTGAATATGAAGTCATGATATCTAATAAAAAAATTAAGGGATGAGAGAAGAATGTATTGGGAGGAAGAGAAAGGGAGAGGTAGAATAGGGTAAATTGTCTGACATAAAAGAAGTTAGAAAGAGCTTTTACAGGGGAAGGGAAAAGGGGGAACTTAGGGGGAGTGAGTGAACCTTAATCTCTTTGGAATTGACTCAGATGCCAAATAACTTACACAACCAACTGGGTAAAGTAATCTGTCTTACCCTACAAGAAAAGAGGGGAAGGAGATACAGGGGTGGGTGACAGAAGGGAAGGCAGATTGGAGGAAGGGGTAGTCAGAAACAAAATATTTGTGAGGAGAGACAGGATGAAAGGAGAGCAAGAATAGAAAAAATTGGGGGGATAAGATGGAGGGTAATCCAATTAGCAAAAGTGTGAAAAAATTTTGAAGCAACTTTCTCTGATTTTATTTCAAATATATAAAGAACTGAGTCAAATTTATAAAAATAAAAGCCATTCCCCAATTGATAAATGATCAAAATAAATGAACAGTTTTCTGATGAAGTAATCAGAGCTATCTATTGCTGTGTGAAAAAATGCTCTCACTCACTGTTGATTGAAGAAATGTAAATTAAAACAGTTCTGAGGTACTACCTCATACCTATTAGATTAGGTAATAAGACAGAGAAAAGGAAAATGGCAAATGTTGGAGGGGATGTGGGAAAACTGGGATACTAATGCACCATTGGTGGAGTTGTGAACTGACTCAACCATTCTGTAGAGCAATTTGGAACTATGCCCAAAGGACTATAAAATGATGCATATCCTTTGACTTAGCACTACTAGATCTGTATCCCAAAAGAGATAAAATCAAAAGGGAAAAGGAGCTATATATGCAAAAGTATTTATAGCAGGTCATTTCTGGTGGCAAAGAATTGAAAATTGAGGGGTTGCCCATCAATTGGGGAATGGCTGAACAAATGGTGGTATGTGATTATGATGGAATACTATTGTACTATAAGAGATGATGAGCAGAATGCTCAGAAAAATCTGGAAAAACTTGCGTGAGCTGATGCAAAGTGAAATATACTGCGTACAAAGTAACAGTAATATTGTAAGATGATCAGCTGAGTGACTTAACTATTCTCATCAATACAATGATCCAAGACAACTCTGAAGGACTTGGGATGAAAAATGCTATCCTTCCCCAGAGAAAGAACTGCTGGTGTGAGAATACAGAATTAAACATATATATATATATATAAAATTGTAACGCTCCTGTATGTTTAGGTGCCTTTTTTTTTTTTTTGGTGGTAAAACCATCACTCCGTGCCTGTGCTGTTCTCAGCAAAAAGGGCAAGAAAAAAAAAAAAACTTTAGATTTTTTTTGGTTTATTTTAAAAATCCTTATTGATAAAATTCATTTTTACGTTTTTTTTTACATACCTTTCTGTTAACTCCTGCCTAAAAAGCCATACCTTGTAACAAATAATTTTAAAAGGGGAAAGAAAAAAAACCCAGTGAATTTCACCCTCATATCAACCTAATCTGATAGTGTATGCAGTATTCATCACCAATATCACCTTACATCTGTACGGATAATAATAAAATACAAATTATTTTCTACTTGTCTCCTGATCCAAGATTTTTGGAGATTATAATTATACAGAGCTCCATATCTTTATTTCTTTTTCCCTTCTCTCTTTCCATTTGCCTTGTTTTCTTTATTGTATATATTGTATATTATTTATCTGAGTCTCCTTCACTCTGCATCAGTTTAAATAAATCTTCTAATACTTTTTGAATTCTCCATATGCTTTGTTTCTTCTACTAATTATCTTTGTGTTACAATCATGTGTTATAATTAACTTGTTACAATGTATTTAGTAATTTTCCAATCAACGGGCATCTGATTTGTTTCTAATTTTCTTCTACCAACAGAAAAAAAAAACAAAAAAATAAAGTTAATTCCAATTATCATCCAATAAATGAGGGCTTTTATATATTTCTTTCCATTGCTTTACTTAGTTATGAGCATGTAAGAGGAGGAAGAGCTCACAGAATTAATATACTTTGGAGTAGGACAGGGGATTT